CGTAGGAGAATCGTCGTTAGCCACTTTGGTCCACCGCGACCAGCCATATCGACACCACGCTGGCAACGTCGATTTTCTGCGGGTTTAGGTCGATTAAAACGAATATCGTGCACCATGAAGTACGTCCATTTCTCGATGTTTTCTTTTCACACCCCCACATCGCCTTTCCTACCGTCCCCCTCGTTCAATCTTTTCACAAATGGCCCACCAATGGTATGGTCAATACCGGTACTACGTTCATTCGCTTCTCGAATATATTTGATCGTGAAAATCGATTGTTTTCTAAAGCGCATTCAACCTCTGTATCTCCGATTTTTACTTCGGAATAAACCGCATATTGTTCAGATTTTTTTCTCATTTATTACAGTACTCTGGGAATACTGATCGAAAGAAAATATATCGTTTTTGTACATCGTGTTTTCTCCCTTATTTTCTTTTGATTTTTTTTTTTTTTTTATATCAATATTCACGTATCATTGATAAATTTGTACGCGAAATTCATCGTATCGAAGGATAGAAAACGAGCAGTTTTTCATCGAACTATATTTTAATTATTATTCTGTTTTTTGTTTTAATTTATATTATAATATTATATTAATTATTCTTGTTTTAAAGTATTAGTAAAATAAATATAAACATTGAAACATTGCATTTTTTTAAATGTAAAGTTAACTAAAATTATCACTTGTCTTGAATTATATTATGAAATAAAACTGAAGCATTGGAATTCGAATTTGATGAATAAGAATTTTATCTTTTTCAACATAATAAGCTTTATATATATGTGTGTATGTTTATGATAATTTAGATCAGAATCCCCTTCTTAAAAGAGCAAAAATTCTTTGCTGTGGATTTATCTGCATCCTAAGATTAAACAATTAAAACGGATAATCTCTATATTGAAATAACCTATTTCATAACTCTAACTTGTTCCATTCATCAATATTCCATTTTAACGTATCATCGATAAATTCTCTTCTTTAAATAAATAAAAATACATCATATCCTCAAACTCATTTTTACCACGTAATAACCCACCTGTAAGAATCTTTGTATCAAATATATACAAACCTTTTCTCTTCTTTTCATTATCTCTCCAAACCATTTATTCCAAATATTCCGAAAACATCGATTTCCACAGATTAAGATAAACATCCGTCGTTGTCTGTCCACGATGTTTTCTTTTCGCGCCTTTCTTTCTCTTTCCTCCGAGTCAAAATTATCCTTTCCCTTCCAATGTGTGCACACGTACGCAAACATACGATGGCGAGAATCGAGCGTGACATAAAAAAAGGACGGACAACGTGGAACGAGGAAGAAGACCCAGAGAGAGAGAGAGAGAGAGAGA